TTTGTGGCATTATTCCATCATCTGAAAAGATGTCAATGACAGAGCTTCCCCTTACCATCCCTGTCTGCATTAGGGGTTTGAGAGGGCAGTGGTGTGTCTTCCCATTTCAAGGAAGGAGACTGGGGGAAGAGGGAAAGAGATCCTTCCTTGCTTCAATTACAGAAGGAAAACAATGTCTCCTGACAAAGCTGGAGAGCAACCCTTCCTGCTCAGAGAGGCATGGACACTTGGCACACTCTTTAGAAAATAAAGGCAGGAAGTTCACCTGGGGACGCTGAACACTTTTAGAAACACCTCCAAACTCATAGTTGCTTCTCTGATACTGCCTCTTACCAAATAAATAAACTGAGAAAGAAGAGATAACCTGGGCTCCACCTGAGATCCCACCACTACACTGTGACCTCTAATAATTCAGCTAAAGGACTTTGCAGTGACCATGCTGTAGATAAAGACAGGAGAATTATTTTAAAGACTAATCGGTGCACTCAACAGTAACTTTAAAAAAAAAAAAGTTTGATAGAGGTTTTTTTAATGTGGTTTTGGTTTGCTAGAAGTTTTTTGCGTAGGTTTGGTGTTTTCTTATTTCTTTTTCCTGGCAAGATGATGCACCCCAGTTCATTGAGTATTCCTTTCATAAATCAAAACATCAGAAGTACAGCATGTTTCCTGAACTTGTTGGAATAAACATTATACGTAGCCCCCTCTGGAGCATTTTGGTTAGGGTGTTTGTCTTGCTGTTTGTGCATGTGAATTACTACATAATTAATCTAGAAGTCTGTAAAATTGACCTCTCTATGGTAGGCAAGCATCCTTGGAGGACTTGGTCCAAAGTATGGTGAATAGATTGAGGCTATCTGAAAGTTCATATTCCTGGTATATTTACTCCATGGACATGTCTACTGAATATATTTGCTTGCCTTCCACATAGTCTGTGGGTGAAGACATCACAGGTTATATGAATATTTGTCCTGGACACTGGTGAGTTAGTAAAAAGGCATGATCTGAAGAGACATTCAGAGTAAACTCAAGATATATTGTCAGTGGGTGCAACCTGAAATATATTGAGTAGTGAGGTTGAAGATCTATTCCCAGCAGGCCATGTGCACATAACTCACAAACATACAGCACATTTATATGCATATATACGTGACCACGTGCAAACACATTGCAGACAAAACCACCTAGGACCTCCCAGAGTGCTCCCACAAACACCAAGAGCATCATCATCCTCACACTCCTCCCCTCCAAAACAGTGCAGCATCAAGGTCCATTCATGAGAATGTGTATCTGTGCAGGCATACACATTGTGGCTCCCTCCATCATCTGGGCTCATAACCTCAATCTGCCCAGTAGCTGCCCCTGGATCCCAATCTCCTCAATTTCTGGCACCTGGACATAAGCCTCCAGTATTGACTTGCAGTGATGGGTTTCATGCTGGGATTTACTTGGAACAACCCTGAAAGGGACCTGGATGTGGTGTCCCAGTATTTTTCTGAGTCTTAATTTGGTAATCACACTCCTGCTGCACCAGGATAGTGTAGATAGGCTTTGGATAATCTGATGTTTCCTGCAATGGGCCTGAGAGCACCCAGGACCAGGAAATTATTTGGGCTCTCTCTCCTGCCACAATCTCTCTGTGCTTCTTTTGGATGCATAGATAAGCTTTTATCACCTAATCCAATGTGGACAGTCTGGTTTCCACAGCAGTGACATCAGAGCAGCTCCCCCATATTGCTCTGTGCTATCTACCTTGTTTTCCAGCATCTCGGCTGCCTCAGCCAGCTGGGGCTGCATGTTCCTGAAGCCGACTCTGTCACACTGCACAGCATTCCTTGCAAGCTGACCAACAGCACACACAGGCCCCTTGCCATTGCTGCCTGGGAAGTTATTTGAAGATCTCTCTGTTTTAAGATAAGCCAAAAGCATTACTTTTGTTTGCATTCAGCTCTTTTTTGACAAGGGGCTGGTAGAATTGCAGTACAGTGAGCACAAGCATGGTGTTGATCATGGAAAGCAATGGATCATTGATTGCACTCCTCCATTAATCTGCCCCTCTGGAGTCTATTCATTATAAAAATCCAAGCATGATGCAGATTGCCTGCCTACCATAAAACTAGAAAGGGAAGCATATACAGGGTAAATTACTATTGACATACACTAGGTCATGAAAGTGAACAAGAAAAGTCTTTTTCAGCTTACTGCAAACACCATCTTTGCCTTTTCATGTCTTCAATCTTCCTCAAGCTGAAGTTCTTTACAAGGACAACAGTTTGTGTTTGGACTAATCAGAAGCCTTGGTCATTTGTTCCTTGTATGCAAGGAACAGCAAAATCTCTTTTTTTTTTTTTCAAGTGACCTATGTGTTGGCTTTGGTGGAGAGTTGTGGGAATCAAAACCTACAGAGGCCAATAGTGGAACTATATATATAAAAGAAAACATAACAGTGATAAGCCTATTATATCCTTTGAATCAAGCATCTGCTGATGTGGTGTTGGGTGTGAATACATTTGACTAATTTTCAGTCAGTTATATTTCTGCTCTACCGAGTCGTTTGCAAAATATAAGCCTTCGGATTTGCTTGCAGGGACAAGATCTCTTCTTGTTACTTAAAAAAAATAACTAGAAGATGAGACAAAAGCAAGACAGATTAAAAAATGTCTATTAATAAAATAAGTTGCTTAAGTAATGAGAAGAATTTAAATGTACAGATTTGTAGTTGTAGAACAAATAATCTGGCTGCAGTAAAATGAAGGGACCTTACATTCTTAATGAAAGAAACTAATGTAAAGCTCTGGAGGCAAAGTCTGCAAAACATGGCTGAATGAATGCTCTTTACAGTTGTGCGATGATATTTCTTCAGGCTGTATTTCTTCATCAGTTTATTCTATTTCAACTTTACAGATTATGTAAGTAATTCCTTAATAAGTAAAGCTTAATATCTTTACTCTATATTTTGCTTTCATAATGTATTTGATTTCCTGCTGACATAAAGGGAACAAATTGGCTCCCAACTAATAATTGTTCAGAGCTAAGCTCTTTTAGGGTCCTTAATGGACTAACATACTCTGACATTTGAGGTATTAGTATTTGCAAAGTTGCTGTGGTGACAAATGTAGTTCGGGTTAAAAATCACAATAATAATTCTACTTTGCTTAACCACTCAGCATGATTCCAAAAGGACATTTCTGCCAAAATGAATGCATGTTTTCATTTTTTCCTGAGAAATGGTATCTTTAGTAAAATATAAGTGTATGGGGAAGTTTGACTTCTTTTTGGTCACAGTACCCTACACCTACTCAAATTACTATTAAAACATTTAAAATAGCACAGTGAAGAAAAGATTGAAGAAAAGATCAGGTCAGGCCCAAGGGAACAATCTGTAGAACAAAAAGTCTGGGACTTGCCTCAACTTCTTTTCGGTTGTTGTGATAAAGTAAAACATTCCTAAAAGCAGTGATTCTTCCCTTTAAATTTCTCTGCCTGTCACTGCAAACCCATCAGACATGGCCTAGAGGGTCTTTTTTCACTCATGCAGGGAACCTGTAGGCAATGGCATTGGACCCAGGGTCACAGTGATAGCTCTAGCAGCTTTTGCCCATGGCCATCCCTCTGGTTTTGCAATAAGCAAAGCCAAATGGGGAGATGTGATCCATTTTGTGTCTTTCACTAGAATCAGTTGTCAGACTAGATTAGAAAAGATCATGATCTTTTTTATTAATGTAAGACTTTGCAGGCCGGGGCCTCAATAAGTAGAGATGATGGCTGTGTTATGAGAAGGTGTCACTAGTAAACGTACCAATGCAGACCAGCTTCCAAAATATTTAGGTGACAGATTTTTGAAGCTATTTCATCTTTTGTCAAAGAGACTTTGAGAAAAAAAGTCCATCATATGCCACAGGATCCCTTTCCAGGGTGTTCTCTCATAACCATGTAGTTATAGAAGTTAGTTTCTATTCTATTTTTTCCTAAGCACCCTGTATTGTCCAAGGAGGGAGGGAGGGAGGGAGGAAATGGTGTGGGACAGGCTGGCAGAAAGAGGTGTGCTCTCTGTCTTTTTCTCTCTCCATTGATCATTGATCCCACCAAAAACCTCAAGCCTAGAGCCAGACTTAGTCACAAGTTCAAGACAAAGCCTAAGTGCTTGGAGGAAGTTTCCTGCATCCTGTGTCACCATCAAGGGCACATACTGCTCCCAGTCAGAAGGTGGTAACCAGCAGCATCACTCTTGGCTGAGCCAGGAGCTTTCCTTCTACAGAGCAGACCTGGGTACCAGCAGAATGGTGGCAGGCAGAAACTGACAGGCACCACGAGTATGGTTCCAAGTCACCCATTATTGCTCCTGCTCAAAGAAACCACTGTAAGCTGTTTCACCACCAGCACTCATGGTCCCTATGGCGTTTTAAGGCCTCAGACACTTCCATTCAGCTGCAGTCATGGCTAAGGCTTGTACAATTTAAACAGAAGGTAAGTCAGAGGTCAAACTCAGCCCCTGCCCATGGCTTAATGCACAATGGAAGTGTTGCTGACCTTCTGGTAGATAAAAGACTTGCAGAGAAATGTGATGGAGAGGAAGACAGACTAGCTCAGAAATTTTTGAAGTTTTCCTGCTAAATTTACATCCTGATCTCAAAAGTAAAAGATAAGAAATTAATACATTGTTGATTTTCTTTCAGAGCTCTGTTTTTAGATTGCAAGGTTTGTATTAAAATGTGAAAATGGGAAAAAATATAATCTCTTCTTTCTAAAAGTAAAGGAAGAATGTTGAGGGCAGGAGAAAATATTATTTTCAGCAAGCAAAAGTAAACCCTGTGTTGATACTATCTTTGTAACAGTAAAACCTGACAGATAATCTTTAGTTTATTTGAAATCTGTAATTAAACAGAGTCATGTTACCCTGGCTGTCAAAATCAGTATTGTCTCTTATGTCTTTTTGCAGCTCTTCCTGAAATTAAGGGGAATTTGCTTTGCTTTGACTCCTTTCTCTCCCTTTCTCTTTTAAGGTCAACTCAAATCAAAACGTACTCTTGGGATAATGCCCAGGTTATTTTGGTTGGCAACAAATGTGACATGGAGGATGAACGGGTAATCTTCACTGAGAGGGGAAAACATTTAGCAGAGCAACTTGGTAAGAAATGACACAACAAAAGCTTTGTGGTTGTTTGTGAGAATGCAAAAATTAATTTAATTTATAGCTTACAGAACTTGCAAATACATATTCATGACACATTCATTGTAAAGGAATAGTCACACACTCCTTCCCTTTTATTTCTATAGCCTTTTTGACATGGAGCAAGAAGACAAGTAAATCAGAAAAACCCAAGCAAGGGTGTTTTTTTCCTGTCCCCTCAAAAAAAAAAAAAAAAAAAAGAAAAAAAAAGAGAAGAAAGGAGATATTGCAGAAAAAGCTTACTAGACCTTTTTGCAACTTGAGTAGATTTGGGTTATGATTAGCAATACCGATAATCCAGAACAGAAATATGCTGCTGTCCCACTGCTAACACTTCATCCACCGATCTACTGTACATTCACAGAACTGTAGATATGAACTTGTTTCATAAGGTCTCCTTCTGGGAAGCAAATTCTGTACATACAGAAAATTGCCAAGCTGTGAGCACCTTTGTTGTTTCTGTTTCTACACAACAGTGTTATCCTTTCATACCACGAAATGTTTTTGGAGTGACACTGGTCAAACTTTAGTGGCAAATCTCCAGAGCATCATTGTAATACTAATACCTAGGCTCTTTTTCCCTTCAAATTTCCTGATCTCTGGAGAGTAAGCTCAGCAGGTGTGTAAATCAAACGCTGGAATTGTTAAAGGTCAATTTATGTACAGGGAATCATAAATTATGGGCATGGATTTGTTATTGTTTTTAAAACTCTGTGTAGTAAAAGCTCAGTCTGGTCAAAATATGTGTAACCAAGATCTCCTTGTCACTATTCCTCTATAGGTAGGTAGATGAAAGAATGTTTTAATAAGGGATCTAATCTCATGCTGGTGGTTCTTAAGTCATGTATGTTCATAGGTCAATGATCTTATGTTTAAAAAAATATTGTTTTCCACTTGCAGAATTACTTTTCCTGGTAAACAATTTTATCAGGGTAACATGCCTTCCTATTGAATCTGTCTTAATAAGTGCTGCATATGTGTAAAAGAACTTGAATGAATATGTTAACGATTACTGTAAGTTAGTCTTTGAAAGATGGCAGGAAATATTTAACAGAAGGTTATATCCAGAAAACTTACCAATATTTGTAAAGAATTGAGTTCTCAAACTGATTGCAACCAAACCATTAACAGAGGATATTTATCTTTGCAGAAATACCTGTCGTATTTTTATATATATTTTTCTGTATATGTTCTTCCCATTTCTAATGTTTACTCATTGCACTAGGAGATAGGAATATATATTCATTGGACAAAGAGATCCCAAAAATCTAACTGTATACTTTTACCATGAATTTTGACAAGGTGCTGAAACATTTAGCAACAACCATTAATTTTCACTATAGAGTTTGAAATTTTTTTAAAGTCACAAAAAAAATCTGAATTTCTATGCCTTGAACCATATTCCTTCAAAAAAAGAAAAATAACGCAATGAATTGACAAGGCATCCCCAAAGTCCTAAATTTATCAAGACAAGAAGGAACTTTGCATGTTTTACAGTCAGGAATCCTCAGATTTAATAACCAATGCTTGAAAAGAAGAAAAAAGGGTAATGAGATAGATAACAAAACTCATGTTTCAGGCTTTAAAGCAAATTCTAACTCCTGGGATTTAAAATTCAATCTTTATGGAAGAAGATTATCCTCTATTTCCATATTTATCTACTCAGGGGGTTTCTTTTCTCAGATATATATCCTGTGGCTATCTCAAGGGTAGATTAATTGTATTAGATAACTTGTGTCTCTGATCCAGTCATTTACTGTACTCAGACTGCACACACAAATGTTTACATGTTTCCTGTACAGCTACAATAATTTCTTAAATCTGCCCTGAGAGTGGTTGAGGTGATGTCAGGAGCAGCAGAAGACTTTTCCTTAACTGCAGTAAGTGCCCTGGCCTTGCAGGCTGGTTTGGAGGGCACCCATTGTGTTACACACATGGGACTGTCTTTTGTTTCTCTGGCAGCAAATTGATAACATCTCTTACAGACAAGTTTTAAAGATAACCATATAGATTTTTCTGTCCAGGCAGACATTTTAAAACTGAGAGCCCTTTGAACACAGTGTTGATCACAGACGCAAGCCAATAAGATTCATGAGTGCTGCACAAAAACTAGGCTGTGACACCTTCTGTTCTCAAGTGTGGTTTTATTTTCAGCCCTTCTTTATTTGAGGGCCCTAAGAAAATGAACACATGCACCTTCTGGGGTGACTATTCAGAAGGTCAAAAAGAGCACTGGGAGTTTAACCCTCTGGGGAACATGGTGTTCTGTTGAGAACAGTGTTATTGGAAAAGGGAGACTCCTTTTGGCTCCTGACATCTCTGAAAAGTGTGGCCTTAAAGTTCAATAACAAGGTGTAATCATTCATTGCTTTAAATCACTTTGCTGGCTTTTTTCTCAAGTGTAACCCAAACAAGGAGTTTAAATGAACCAACATAAATCTCATTACTGTTGGAGGAGGTCTGCTGAATGAGACAACTGCCCTGTGGTACGTCTGCATACCTTTTTCATGGCACTACTCAAAGTTCACAAAAGAATGAAGGAATAGTTAGGAACCCAGATCTGACCTTGAAGAAAAATTACAGAATCTTTATGAGGACAGAATCTGTCATATTTGCTTTGAAGATATTTTTTGAATTTATTGTTAATAACATGACACTGGCAGTACCACTATGGATCATAGCTACAAGCAGTGTTGTAGGTATTTTGTAAAAGATGTGAACTGGAAAACATGCAGTGATACTTTCTCTGACCATAGAAAATTATATTTGTGGTTGTCATAAACCAAATGCAATGCATTTATATTCAATAGGCCTTTTGTAATTTTTTCCTGTGATTTGTACAATGATGTCTTTGAAGCCATATAGAGTCCTACCACCCACAATATCCTTTAAATATGCACAGTTTATCTGTTATCTACTGCTCCTTTGAACTGGCCCCCTGACACTTTAATTTTATTTTTCTTCACTCTTATATTCTTACAAAGAGTATACAATTGTTTGCTATTACCTGCTCTGTACCTCTGTGGGTTTCAGAGAGCTCTGTCATATTCCCTTTTTCTCCATAAGGTAATTCCCAGAATATTTAATTGTTCCAGGCATAAAGACACAAAGACATACATTAGTCATTCCTTATCATCCCATTCAGTACTTTTTTAAAGTGGTTTTTTTCAGAAATCAGTTCATGGTTGTTTAACACAATAGCATCATTAACAGGTTAAGGTTAGAATGAAATGAAAATAGATGAGAGCAAATAAAGTCACATAACTTTTCCTCATATAGGTATTATTCCAAGAATGTGTAGAAATGTGACAAACTAGCCAATAGAGAGAAATAATTAATACAAGGTTATTATTGATTTCGTAATGACAGCAAATGCATTTAAAGAAGTTTATTCACTAATCACTAGCAAAAAAGGGTATGGAATGTAATTCTTATTATATTTTCTGTCTTCAGGAATATTTGCTCTGAGCAGTACATGGATTGGCTATGGAGGGAATAGAAATATAGTCAGCATTTACATGCTTTAAAGCATTTTAGTAAAACAAGAGTTGGAACTTCCTGTGAGCAAAATGCATGCACTCTTGCCAGCTGAATTGCTCACACAGTTTTCTAAGATATTGCTCTCATGCCTTTCAGCAAAACTCATACATTCATACAAGTTTGGTGTCAAATGTCAGACAAACATTTGACAAAATGTCAGAAGAGAAATAAAAGGAGTCACAGGTGGCTTGATGTCTTCTTGTTTCTTCTATCCAGTCTGTATGATATAGTGATATTGTAATCTACATTCCAGCTAAGAACTAGCAAGGAGAGGTGTACACAGGCCTTTGAATAGAGTCTGAATAACTAGACAGGGAAATGGATAGCTGCATATGCAGTTCAACATAAAGTTTTTCCATTTATTTGGGGCATTCTACTGTGCCTGTTAACTAGATACATCAACTTTTATGTGTTCTTTGGTTTCTCAGGTTCTTCTTATGTTTTGCCATCCAGGATCAACCATGGCTGGGGGCATTCATCATATCTAAGTATGCCCTAGGTTGCACTTGCCTGTTTTCTAAATTTATCCTGGCATCCTATTTCTCCTAGAGGCCAACATCCAATGTCAGCAAACAAAATGAAATGTGCTCACCCTTTCTGGGTGAACTCTCACATTCTCTTCTGCAAGGGGCAGTAGAAACCAGGCCTCACACCGTATTCAGGGAACCTGCAAAGGCCTCTGAATATTATGTGTGTCATGGTCAGCAGTGCCTGTGACTTCAGTGCACCTCCACAGCTTGTCACTCAGAGAGATTGTAATTTTTACATACCTTATCTCCATATTTTCTCTTCTCATTTGGGTGACATCCTCCTTCAAGTCTTTCCTTTTCCTTTTCCTTTTCCTTTTCCTTTTCCTTTTCTTTTCCTTTTCCTCCTTTTCCTTTTCCTTTTCCTTTTCCTTTTCCTCCTTTCCCTTTCCCTTTCCCTTTCCCTTTCCCTTTCCCTTTCCCTTTCCCTGTCCAGGTTCAGGGCAAATTTGGTAGAGAATCTGCAAAGGAGGGCCCCTCCAGAAAGCAAAACCCACATGGCCCCTCCCCCCAACCGGTTTGGGAAGAATTCCTCGGAGAGAGGTGGAAAGAACCTGTTTATTTCAGGCACAGCACCCCCCGCACACAAAATGAACAATACCCGATGACACCGCTCTGAGAAAGGTGGCAAAATCAGAAAGTCTCTTTCGGGGGTGGTTGCTCTGCTCTCAGTCCCTCCGGCACTGGGGCAGCTGCTGCAGCCGAACTCTCGGTGTTCCCGCGTCCCAGTCCCGAGCAGGTTCGAGATGGTCACAGGAACAGGAGAGGAGAAACAGTCCAGGAAGGGATGTGGACTGTTTAGCTAAACTAGCTAATAAGCAGAAGTAAAAGCGAGAGCAGAGAGAGAGCAAGCAAAGCAGAAAAAGCCAAAAGCCAAAAGCAAAAAGCAAA